CTTACTGAGCGTCAGCCAGTTGATGGCGAAGGGCATCCACCTGGAAGCCGACAGCACCACCCAGGAATTTAAATTATATCACGGGAAAGGCGGCCTTTACATCGGGAAGGCAGTTCTGAAGAACAACGTCTTCGTCCTGGATTTCGTCCCGGACCTGGGCACCGCAGACAGCGACGCTATTGTTAACTTCACGGACTGGACGCACCCTCCAGATCTTGATCCAGACTTCAGCCCGGAAGGCTTCTGGTACTCCCATACTATCCCTGAAGCAGAACGAACACGCGCATTAGCAACAATACAACACTCGACAGCAGCAGAGACAACATCGACAGCAGCAGAGACATCGTCGGCAGCAGCACAGACATCATCGGCAGCAGCAGAAACAACAACGACAGCAGCAGAGACATCATCGGCAGCAGCAGAGACAACATCGGCAGCAGCAGCAGGAACAACGACACCAGTCCTCGTCGACGAAGAACCACCAACACCCGCACAGCAGTTGAAACCAACTCCACGAGAAGCCCACAGAAGCGCAAACTTCGTCGCCAGCTTCTACTCCAACTCCGACACGTATCGACGATCACCCGGACATCGCGCCTCCGAAGAAACCTGGCACGCACGATTGGGACATCCAAGCAACACAGTCTTAAACAACACGATAAGAGCAGGAGTTCTCGACAAAGACTCCCTACTACTACCCGACGGCAGAGAACTTCAAAAGGCACGAGGGACTTGTCTTACCTGCCCCGAAACTGACTTACCACATCGACCGTTCGCTCCTCATCACAACCCGAGCGCACCGGCGTACGCACCACTCGAGAAGGTGTACAGCGACACCCTCTACAATCGCGAACCAGGACAAGTCACCTACAACTATACGATTACCTTCATCGACGCCGCCACTCGATATGTCTGGCATCTAAACCTACCAAGCCGCGACATGGCACTCGCAGCGTTCGCCGCCTGGCTACCAGTAGCAAAACGAGAGTCGGGAGCAAAGCTGAAAAGCTTCCAGTCAGACGGAGGAGGAGAATACACCTCTCAGCGCTTCAAGCAGTACCTGGCGGAAAGAGGAATCAAGCAACTCCTCTCCCTTCCCTACGCCCATCAGCAGCAAGGTGTCGCAGAACGAATGAACAGAACTCTACAGAACAGCATGCGCAAACTGTTACGTGGCATGCGGCTACCCAACCACCAGTGGCCTGCAGCAATGGACCACGCTGTCATGCTGCACAACTTGATGTCGTCTTCCTCACTCCCGAACAACGCATCACCGCATCTGCTGTGGACAGGGAAACAGGGCAGCACAAAAATGTTACGAGTTTTTGGGTGCATGGTACAGTACCGACCCCCTGAGGCACGAGTGGGAAGATTTTCACAACGCGCACAGTGGGGACTACACCTCGGCATAAAAAAGAATTACAACGCGTGGAAAATCTTTGACGTCCACTCAAAGGAAACAGTAGCAGCACGTGATGTGATCTTCTACGAACGCCTCACCCTTTAGACGTACCTCGCCAACTTGCACGAGAATCAGGACCCCACAGGTGGCTTTCGTGGTGACCGAGCATTCGCCTCAGCAGCAGACGAAGCAGACTGGGACGAGCAGAACGTCGACAACGCATCTGAAGAAGCCGGACCTCTCCCGTTCTGCTCCGTCAACGTCCCCATGGACAAAGAAAATCCTCGCGAAAGTGCCAACGCCAAAGTCTTCTATCACTTCGCCGACAATGGTTACGTAACACCTGCAACAGCCAACACCAACTAAGCAGAAAGAGTAGGACCGAATTTCATACCCGACCCAGAAGCGGGAGATGAAGCAGCTTATCCCGAGGACACAACACTCCCCCGCTACTCACAGACCGGACTGCAGATTCTCGGCCTCGTCACCGCAGTCCATGGCTCCACTCTTCCTAAAGAGCCTGCGACAGTTCAACAGGCTCTAGGGGGGGAACACAAGGAGAAATGGCGTGAAGCCATGGACAGAGAGTTAAAAGCGTTGGAGGAACGCAACACCTGGAAATTCGTTCCAGCAAGCATAGCAAGAAACAAGACCATTCTTACCGGGAAGTGGGTCTTCCGCATCAAAACGAAAGCAGATGGCACAATCGAGAAGTTCAAGGCACGATGGGTCGTGCGAGGATTTGATCAGGAACAAGGCCGGGACTTCACCGAGACATTCGCCCCGGTTAGCCGACACACCTCTCTCCGAATCCTCCTTGCGATCGCCGCCATGAAGAAGAAAAAACTGCGACAAATCGATGTCGCTAACGCTTTCCTCTACGCACCCGTCGACGCCGAAATCTTCGTAGAGCTCCCTCACGGTACTCACGGGGAACCCAATCAGGTCTGTCAACTACTAAAATCGCTTTACGGTATCAAACAGGCCCCACGACTATGGCAACAGCACCTACACACCCGCCTCATCTGCATCGGATTCCGTCAACTACCTCACGATCAAGGCATGTATCGACTCACCAAAGGCGCCAACTACATCCTGCTCATCGTCTACGTCGACGATCTACTCTACATCGGCTCTATTGACGACATCGCTACCTGGTTCGAAGGGGAGCTGAAAAAGGACCTCACACTCACGGTCTCCACTACCGTCACTCAGTATCTCGGGCTCAACATTCGCGAAGAAGAAAATGCGATCTATCTCAGCGCCGAGAAGTACGCCGACACCATCGCCAAACGGTTCGCACTCACACCTGCTACTATCCACACGCCATACCGCTACACGGCAGGAAACGGCAAAGGAAGCTCCGTCCTACTTAAGACCGCCGGAATACGCGACTACCAGCGAAAACTGGGCTGTCTGCTCTTCGCAGCCATCACCTGCCGCCCAGACCTGTCCTACTCCGCTAGCCAACTCGCTACCTATCTCAAGAGGCCCGAAGCAGAACACCTAGCAGAACTCGACCGTGCTCTTCACTACTTCGTGAGCACCGCAACGATTGGCCTGACGTACTACAAAGACACAACTACGCCGACGAAACTAATCGGCTATGTCGATGCCGATCACGCCGGCGACTCAGATAACAGGCGCTCTCGCACTGGCTACATCTATCGCCTAGAACCTATCGGACCTATTTCCTGGCAATCGAGCAAGTAGGAACTAATTGCGCTCTCCTCAGCTGAAGCAGAATATATCGCCCTTTGCTCAGCCACCAAGGAAGGACTCTACCTTCGCGAGCTGCTGGAAGAAGCAAAGTTAGCCGAGTTACCCAACTTCACCTTGTTCTGCGACAACCAATCCGCAATTCGCATCGCCAACAAGAGCGGATTCGCGAACAGAACGAAGCATATCGCCCTGCGATACTTCTTCGTGAAAGACGAAATCGAGAAAGGGAAACTCGATCTATCCTACTGTCCCAAGTCCGAGATGGCAGCCGACTACTTGACCAAGAAACTTGGAAAGCAGAAGTTCGAGTACTGCATGCTGCTGACTGGACAAAACCACGTCACCATCAGCGACACTCCAGAAGCGAAGGGGAGTGTTGGGAACAAATAAGTTAAGCGCCTCTGTCGTGTCAGTACTCAAGACACAAAACGAAGCAGCTCAAGTCGAAGCAGCGCGAGTCAACCAACGAGGTTAATGTAACCGTCGGAGGTTACGGGAAAGTCAAAGGGCAGCGACCTTTGACCTGACGCAGCGCGACAGCAAGGACAAACAACTGACTCGACATCGAGCAGTTGCCCGAGTCGCACTGTATCGAACCGCAACAGTAAAATTAGTTATAATGTCTCTTCATATTCTCTGTACTCATCTATTTATATTCTTGTATCTCTTTGCTTTTATCAACTTACTTTGCCCTCACATACTAGCGCAAGGTGGTTCAAGTGCTTTATTCAACGCTTCCGCTATTACAACATCTACTCAGACTTTAACTCTACAAAGATCCTAGGGCGTTTCAGCCCAACAACCCACAGCTCATTACCGTTACCAACTTACCACTGTAGTTTCGCTATATATTCTTTGCTCATGCCTTCGCTCATTGTACTCTTGCTTCGATAGTGCAATTCTCGCTCGATCACTCGATTGTACTCGTAACAAGTCTCAACAACGAAGCGAGACGGAACTGCCTCGCGAACGCAACAAAGACAGGGCTGCCGTGACGTGATGCCTTTGCCCATGATGGTGACCCACTTTGCGGACCCGCCACGCAATCAATCTGAGGGCGTCTTATTTTAGGATGCTCAAACCCAAACCCGCCACGCCAGGCTGCCATGATGCTGACGTTTTTTTGCGGCCCCGCCACGTAATCACAGATCTGGGCCGCGACCAACCTCGCCGATGCCTGCCTTCGCGACACGACGAGCCATGGCGGCGCGCCCGGCGGGGGAAGCGCTCCGCCGACAAGCAGAACGCCGACAAGCAGAACGCAAGCATCGTGGTGTCTCTCCGGAAGGGTGGGAGCCAAGCAAGGCCCTTCCCTTGGTGCTTGGCGAAGAACGGACTCTTGCACAGTCCCGGTTGCCTTCTTGTTTCAACCGCACCTGCGCAGATGGTTCTTTTGAGTTCGCGGCTCCAGCAGCAGCAGCACGAGGAGTTCCACCGCCAAGCCATTTGGAATCTTGATCACGTCGATAATCTCAATCAGCCTCAACAGGGATCTCAGCCCCGTAGTAAGCCTGTTGCCCACCTCGTCGCGCAGCTCGTCGCCCATCTCGTCGCCCATCTCGTCGCCCATCTCGTCGCCCACCTCGTCGTCGCGCAGCCCGTATTGAACGGAAAGCCCAGCCCGTCGCCGTCGCGGCGAGATCTTCTTTGTGAGAGCAGAAGCGAGTTGCGGCAGCACGTATGAGGGAGCTCTGTGCGATGTCGCGCCTGCCTCCGCCGCTGGCTCACATTTGAGTCGACTTAAAGAGGACAGCGCAGTATGCGCACAAGAAAGGAACCAGCACCTACCAGTGAGCTCCCTGTTATGACCGTCCCTGAATCCGCCGACTGCCATTTGCTCCCTCGCTCTTCAGATTCGAGTCAACCTAAACCCACTATGCTGCCAGTCTCCGCATCCGCCGACTGCAGTCTGCTCCCGGGCCTGCCCAATGACGTCGCGCTCGCCTGTCTCGCGCGCCTGTCCCTCTGGGACCTGCCCGCCGCTCGCTGCGTGTCGCGCGCCTGGGCGGCTGCCATTCGCCGCCGGTCGTTCGGCCGCCTGCGACGCGTCCGCGCAGAGGAAGGGGGGTGGGGGGGTGCGGGGCGAAGGGAGAGGATGCGCGACCGCTGGAGGGAAGGAAAGGAGAAGGGGGAGGGTAAGGGAGAGGGGAAGGGGAAGGAGAAGGGGGGGGGAAAGGGATATGGGAAGGAGAAGGAGAAGGGGTGGGCGGAAGGCGAGGGGGAGATTCGTTCTCTGCCCAGGAGTCTCTTGAGTGGTTCCGAGAAACGCTTACCGCCGATGCACTTTGGATCTTACATGCCCGCCCCAGGGGGTTTGACGGCATGTGTGAACGGGGCCCGCTGTGACAGCCAGGGTGCAATGTTGGTGCTGTGCGTGGGTGGTAGCAACAGTAGCAGCAGCGACAGCGCAGGCAGGCAGCGACTGCAGTGGTTCGCCTGCTGCGTCTGTGAAGCCTGCAGAACATGCGATCCACTCTGTGAAACATGCGACCCGTGCGACCCCTGCCAAGCCTGCCAGCCCTGCGACAGGCACGGTTTGTCGTCAGACCCATGCACCTCCTGCGTCCCCAACGCATTCCCCAGGTGGCGCCGCCTGCCCCCGCTTCCCCCCACCAACCCCCACTCCCACCCAGCCTGCTACGGCGCCGTCGCCACGGTGATACCCAGAACCGGGTTTGCAATCGTGGGCGGCGCCGTGCCTTCCCAGTCAGGCAGGCCGCAGCACGTGCGCCACGTGTCAGTGTTTGACTGGCACATGGGCGCGTGGTTTGACATGCAGCAGCCGTGCATGCTTCCTAGATTGGACCCTGTGGTGGCTGGAACTGCAATGGGTGGGGTGCGGTGGAATGGGGGGCAGAGGGGTTGCCTCATGGTTGTCGGAGGGTGTCCTGTGCCATTTTTTCCACGGGGGAGCTCTGTTGGTTCATGTGGTAGAGTTGTCGTTCGCCCTTCAGAAACGGGGGTAGTTGAGAAACTTCTTGTTTTTCCACCTCCTGGAGCCTCTCCCAGCTTGCCACGTGACAGTGCTTTCCCCAGCAGCCACGCACGACACCCGTTCCTGGGGGTGTGCACGATGTGCATTGCGATGCCTGCAGGCGGATTCGGCACCAATGAATGTGACACTGACGAGCGTTCCTGTAACAGCGAATCGGGGTCTGCTGTTCACAGCAGCGCCAGCAACAGCAGCAGCTACAGCACCAGCGGCAGCAGCAGCAAAAGCAGCGGCCGCAGCAGCAGCAGCAGCAGCAGCAGCAGCAGCAGCAGCAGCAGCGGTGACGGCAGGGGCGGCACAGGCAGCATGCTGAGTGGTTGCAGTTTGACTGAAGGCGGCTGCAGCAGCAGAAGCGGGGAGCATTGCTACCATTTCCCAAGGCTCGACTCACTCCTGCTGGGAGGGCGGGTGTTTGTGCGACGGCACAGGTCGCCCTACTTTGCTATCAACCCCGGGGGCTTCAACCGCCACGCTACCACACCAGCTCCACCTGCTCACACTGCCCATGGCCCTGGTAACCAGGTTACAGGCCCTGGCAGCGGCAGGAGCAATGGGCTGAACAGTGGCACGCTATCAGAGGCAGGTGTGGTGGAGGCTGACTGGGAGAGCGCTGAGATGTGGAGGGTGGTGGAGGAGTCTGACGCCATCCATGCCATCTGGACCAGAACACACGTGGCACAGGTGATTGTAGCAGCACATGTGACTGGAGCAAATACTGTAGCAGGTATGACTGTGTCGGATGTGCCTGCAGAGCCAGCAGCAGAAGCAGACGACTCAACGAGCGCATACAGCAGCCGAGCCACCTACTCCGTGCTCTGCTCTCTGGACCCCAACCACTCTCTCCTCGTCTTCAACAACCTTCGCCGCAGATGGGTCCCTGCTGGCCCTCCGCTTCCCCCATGCTCCCCGCTTCGTCCGCCTCTTCCGCGTCCATCCCCTCAGCGTCTCTGCCCGTGTGGCAGGGGCTCACATGAGAGATACTGTTCCACTCTACCCGGCACACCCACTGCACCGTCCAACTCCCACTCTGCTACCCCTGACCCATGCCTTCCAGCCTCTGCCAGCGGTGCAGCCGCCGCTACCGCTGCTGCTGCTGCTGCCATTCCTGGCAGCGCGGCCAGTTTTGCCAGTGCCGCCAATTTCGGAAGGCTGCAGCAGCTTCTTGGGTGTGGTGGCCGTCTCGTGGCTCTCTTCCAGCCACACGACCCGCGCCTCCCAGGAGTGATGCGAGAAATCCTCCTCCCGGACCTCCACACTCTCTCCTCTCTCTCCGCCCTGCTCCCTCACACCTCCTCCTCCTCATTCCCCTCCTCACTCCCCTTCTCTCAGCCTTCTCTCTCTGCCCCCACACAACCTCCCATCACTGTCGGATCCCCAGCAGCACAGGCGCAGGCTTCAGGGAGTGTGCCTGTAGCAGCAGCTAGAGAATCGATGCAGCTGATGTATGGTGATAGTATCGAGGGGCCAAGTGGCTGGGCAATGGATGCTCCAGTCGCCTTGCCTGGCAACGGAAGGTTGCATCACGTGCTTTCCATGCATCCTGCCATTTAGGAACATTGATATGATCCAATGTGGCTGTACATAGGGGGGTGAACTGAGTTGCTTGCTACTGATTCTTTGAGAGGTTTGTCTAGTAAATGATGTGGAAGCAGAGTTGCGTTCTCCCTTTCTCTAGAGCTCCAGAGCTCTGTTTGTTTAGTGCATTCTGACTGTCGTAAAGTCCTGGTACAATGCCCTTGGTCAAAAGGAGCTCAAACTTGTTTGATTGGCATGGCAGCGGAGAGATCCTCCCTACACAAAGGAAAGGAAGTTGTCATTGTAGTGCTGGCGCCCTAATTTCCTTACAGCTCTTGTTTTCCCAGTAAACGCACTGCAATGCAATGCAGTGAATTGGGTGGGTGAGACTCCCATTCAAAATGAATTTCCTAGCTCTCGATCCATTACACGTGCTTGCATCTGCAACAATCGACGGCACGCTCCTTCCTCCTACAAATGAATCCATGCAGCTGCAGTGAGCACATGACATCATGCTTCACGCCCGCCTGAGAGCAGCAGCCCTCATGGCTTCCACGAGCTCCAGCATCTGAGCGCCATGGCATACAGGCGCATGACGGCATGCGAGGGAGAATGATGGTACGGTAGCATCAGGAAGGGAGAGGAGGGGCGAGGGGCGAGGGAGACGGGCAGGAGCAGGAAACCATGACTTGTATGCTTTGCTGACCTGACTTGCTCAATGCCCATGTGGTTCTGAGTGGGCACGCGTGTGGGTAGGCGTGTGGGCAGGCAGGCAGGTGAGTGGGGGCCAAGGACGTCTGGTGTGGTATGCTGTGCATGTGTGCCCGTGTCTCAGGTGCAGGTGCCTGCATGGGCCATGTGTGCCCTCATGTGCATGTGTGTGCCCTCATGTGCATGTGTGTGTCCTCATGTGCATGTGTGTGCCCTCATGTGCATGTGTGTGCCCTCATGTGCATGTGTGCCCTTAACATGGGGGCGTGGTGTGCCCAGCGCACAGCAGCCTCCTCTACAGCTCGCTCAGCACATATGTGAGTGTGCGGGGGTGCATTGCAAGTGTGCATGTGCTTGTGCATGGTGCATGCATCCCCCTTCCCCACTCACCAAAGAGGCCCCAACTCACCCCAGGGAGGCCTCTTAACATGGGGGAATGGTGAGCGAGTCTCACAGCAGCCTCCTCTATCAGCTCACTCAGCGCGTGCACCTCATCCCCCAGCATGTGTGGGTGCGTGGGGGTGCATTACATGTGCCTGTGGATGCTGCAAGCATCCCCCTCCCCAACTCACCCCGGGCAGGCCTCTTAACATGGGCGCGTGGTGCGCGAGGCGCACAGCAGCCTCCTCCACGAGGTCGCTCAGCGCGTCCACCTCGTCCCCCAGCAGCTGCACCTCCCTCTCCGCCCGCCCCAGGTTCGCCACCGCCACCCGCACCGCCTCCTGCTGCTGCCGCCACTTGTCCTCCGCTGCTTGCAGCAGGCTGGCGGGCACGGGGAGGCGAGAGGGCGCATGAAGGGGAGGCGAGAGGGCGCATGAAGGGGAGGCGAGAGGGCGCATGAAGGGGAGGCGAGAGGGCGCATGAAGGGGAGGCGAGAGGGCGCATGAAGGGGAGGCGAGAGGGCGCATGAAGGGGAGGCGAGAGGGCGCATGAAGGGGAGGCGAGAGGTCGCATGAAGGGGAGGCGAGAGGGCGCATGAAGGGGAGGCGAGAGGGCGCATGAAGGGGAGGGAGGGGCAAGGGGATGAGAGAGAGGCGGCAACAAGTGGAGGGGAAAGGTGGTTCAACTCAAACTGCCGCTACCACTCCTCTGGTGCTTGCAGCAGACTGGATGCACGGAGAGCGGCACAGGGGTGGCAGGAGGGAGAGGACGGATAGGCATGGCGAGAGAGGGACGCGGAGAGGTGAGGAAGGGGAGGGAGGGGAGGGAGGGGCGGGAGGGGCGGGAGGGGCGGGAGGGGAAGCCTGGGAGGAAGGGGAGGGAGGGGAGGAAGGGGAGGGAGCGGACGAGGGGAGGAGACAAAGAGTGAAAAGAAACGGTCACTCTGAACTGATTAAGAAACAAATGCCACGGTGCGTTGAGTGATTGGAAATGATGAGTCAGTTCAGCACCCGACTTGAAAATTACTGAAATACACCTGAATTATGCTGACTGAACAGCATGAAAAAGTTAAGAGTACGGACTGACCGAAAAAGAGGGCAGACTGACCGGAACGAAAAAGAGGGCAGACTGACCGGAACGAAAAAGAGTGCAGACTGACCGGAACGAAAAAGAGTGCAGACTGACCGGAACGAAAAAGAGTGTAGACTGACCGGAACGAAAAAGAGTGCAGACCGACCGGAACGAAAAAGAGTGCAGACTGACCGGAAGGGAGTGGCATCGCCTGGAGACGCCACACTACTGGCAGGCGACCACGGCTGTAGCTGTCCATGCCTGCCGGTCCCTGCTGGCGTGGAAGCTGTAGCAGGAGTAACTGCAGACGGCGTGAAAAACGCCGGTGTCTTGCCACCGCCAGGTGTATACGTTGGCGTCCCTCCACCTGCCCCTCCAGGTGTTTCTTCAGGTGCCCCCTGATGCAGCACCAGCGCACCCGTGCCTGCCTGGTCCAGCGCCCCCAACAGGTTCTTCTGCACACTGCCCACATCCCCCACCCCCTGCCCTCGCCCGCCTGCCCCCTGTGCCGTGAAAAATGCCGAGCCAGAGGCACGCACAGCACAAGGATGGGAAGCACAACTACCACCACCCGCAGCAGCAGCGGCGGCAGTGGCAGCGGCAGCGGCAGCAGCAGCAGTGGTGGCACCGGCAGCAGCACTGGCAATGGCACTGGGACCAAAGAGGGGCGGAGAGGAGGGCCAGGCGAGCTGCAGCTTGAGGCGACTCTCAATCTCCTTCAGCTTCTCCTCCGATTCCCCCCTCCTCCTCCTCTCCCCTTCCCTCTCCTTCTCCGCCCGCTCCCTCTCGCCCATCACCCGCTCCACCTCCCTGCCCACCCGTGCCACCTCCCCTTCCATGCGCGCCACCTCCTGCCGCCACCGCTCCCTCTCCTCACCTGCCTGCCTCTCCCGCTCCGCCAGGGCAGCAGCGGCACCTGCAGCAGCACTGGCAGCGGCCTTTCTGGTCTCCTCTAGTGTCTGCAGCGCGGCTCTCACTCTCTCCTCCGCTGCTCTTGCCTCTTCCTCCCCACGCTGCTGCTCCCTCACAATCGCCTGCTGCCCTGCCTGCACCTGCTGCCGCAACTGGTGCGCCTGCCCTTGCCACTCCTCAACCTGCCCCTGCAGCCCGTACACCTGCCCTTGTAAGTCCTCAATATGCCCGTGCATCTCCTCCACCTGCCCTAGAAACCCGTTCACCTGCCCGTAAAGCACTCTCTTGTGCTCTCGCAGCTCACCCAACTCACCCTGCAACCGCCCCACCTCCTCGCCCTTCACCCCCACCTCCTCCTCCACCTCCCCCACTCTCATCTGCAGCTCCCCCACTCTCCTCCGCGCCTCACACACCTCCTCCTCCAACTCGCCAACTCTTCCCTTCAGCTCACAGACCTCCCCCTGCAGCCCCTCCCGCTCCCCCACCAGCTCCTCCCTCTCCCTCGCTGCTGCCACCTCAGCCACGCGCCTTTGCTCCTCCAGCATCTCACTCCACTCCTCCGCCTCCCGCCTCTCCTCCTCCCTCCGCCGCCGCTCTCTCACCAGCTCTCTTCTCACCGCCTCGCCCCACCCCTCGCCCTGCAGCACCGCTTCACGCGCCACCAGCAGCTGGAGCGCACAGCACCGCAGCGCTCTCCTCACTGCATCCACCTCGTTATTCAGAGCCACCGCCCCCTCGGGTTCCCCGTCGGGCCCGCACTGGCACTGCTGTGCTGCGGCCCCATCCTCCTCCGTCTGCTGCAGCGCCTGCAACACAATGAACGATTCCAAGTCCCGCGCCCTCGCTTCTTGCTCCCACCCCGCCGTGCCCTCCCGCTTCCCCTCCTCCCATCCACCACCCTCCCTCCTTTCCTGCTCATCCTTCCTCCCATCTTTCCCCAACCTCCCCCCGTCTCCCTCGCCCCTCTCGTCCCTCCCATCAGCCTCCCCTCTCCCTGCAATCCTCTCACCTGTCCCCCCATCGACGCTCCTCCCCAGCCTCTCCTCTGCTTCTTCCAGTGCCAACTGCATCACCAGCAGCTGCAGCTGCAGACCCAACACCATCTCCTCCCTCCCCTTATCCTCAACCTCGCATCTCACTCCCCCCTTTTCCCCACCCACCGATCCCACACCCTCCCTCCCCTCCTCCCCTTCCCCTCCTAACCTCACCCCTTGCCGGGCCTCTCCCCGAGCCTCTTCCAGGGCCTTCCGAGCCTCGGCCAGATCAGCCAAGTACTGCCGAAGCTGGGAGGCCTGATCCAGCCTGGCTGCTCGCTCCTCCCCCCAAGCCTCCTCCATGCCTCTCACCGCTTCCTCTAACACTGCCACGTGTACGCCCTCCCCCACCACACTCCCCACCGCTGCCCCTGCCACGTCACCAGCCTTGCCCAGCTGGCATGCCGCTTCGCACGCCAGCTGGCGCCGGCGCTTCCTCAGCTGGCTGACAGCTGTCGACACAGAGCGCAGCCGCTGAGTCAGCGTTTTTCTAAGCTGACTCAACCGGTGCTGCTGGCTTTCTGCTGCCACAGCTGCTGCATCCCACTCCTGCCTCTCCCTCGCCACCCTCTCTTCACTCCTCTCTATCCCTTCCAACCGCTCTGCCACATCTGCTCCTTCCTGCCCCCTGTCACCACCTGCATCCCCCACCATGCCCGTGTCACTCAGCCGTTTCAAGGCCTGGGAGCAGTTCAGCAGCTGCAGCGCTGCCACCCCTGCGTTTCCCCCAGCCTCTGCACCACCACTGGTAATGCTACTGGCAGTGGCAGTGGCACTGGCAGTGGCAGTGGCACTGGCAGTGACACCCGCACCTGTACCTGCATCCTTGGCCACACCTGCATCCTTGGCCACACCTTCGCCCGCTCTGCTGTTGCCCGCACACCACAGCGCATCCCCCACTTGCCGCCACCATGCCCTATCCCTCTCCACCGCATCCAGCTCCTCCCCTAACGCCTTACAAACTTGCTCCATCTCCGCTGCTGCTCGCTCCACCAGCTGCTGCCAGTCTTCGCCCGCACCCAACTCTCCCGTCCCCCACTCCACCCCTCGTCCGCCCTTCTTCCCCTCCCACTCCCCCTGCTCCCGCCCCCCCCCGCCACCCTCCGCCTTCTCCTTTTCCAGAGCGTCCAATTGCTGTTGCTGCGCCTCTACCTCCTTCTCCAGACTCGTTACAATCACATTCAGCTTACTCACCTCCTCTCTCGCCCTCTCTAGCTCCCCCTCCGCCTCTCTCCTCCCCCTCTCCGTTTGCTGCGCTGCTTCCACTGCCCTCTCACACTCCCCACCCACTCGCTCCACCTCCTCTTGTAATTCTCCCTCTCTCTCCCTCGCTCGCTCCAACTGTTCCTCCAGCCGTCCTTTCTCCCTCTCATGCTCTCTCTTCCGCTCCTCCTCCTCCTCCTCCCACCCAACCAGCACCTGCTGCCAGTCCCGCCTCACCCCCTCCATCTCCTCCTCCTTCTCCCGCGCCACCGCTCTCAACTCCTCCACCTCCTCTCTCAACCCCCTCATCTGCTGCTCGCTCTCAGCAGCAAACGCACACAGCCGCTCCTCCTTCTCCACCACAGCGCGCAGCAGACTCGCCACCTTCTCCCTCTCCTCCCTCACCTCCCTCTCCAACCCCCTCACCTTCTCCCTCTCCTCATCCGCCCTCTCCCTCTCCTCATCCGCAGCAGCCTCCCACTCCTCCGCCGCCCGCTTCGACTCTCTCCAGTACTGCTGCAGCTCCACCATCCGCTCTCGATACACCTCCTTCTCCTCCTCCGCTTCCGCCACCTTCCCCCGCCACTCCGCCTCCACCTCACCCAACCGTCGTCTGCACTCATCAGCCTCCTCTCTGGCAGCGTCCAGCTCGTGGTAGCTGCGGGCGATCTGAGAGACAGCGGCCTTGCTGGCGTGCAGGCGGCCCTCCAATGCAGCAATGCGCTTGTTGTTGCTCATGAGCTCCAGGTTAAGGATCTTCACCCGCACACTCGCTGCCTCCGGCTCCCCTTCCCCGGATTCACCCATCCCAAATTCACCTGCCCCAGAACTACCCGCCCCAGATTCACCTCTCTCTGCAGCACTGGCAGGGCCCCCACCTTCTGCAGCAGCGAAAGCATCATCCACCCGTACTGCCACAGACTCAGCAGAAGCAGCAGCAGCAGCAGGATCAGCGGCAGCAGGAGGAGCAGCAGTGGTGTCAAGAGCGCGCAGCTGGTGAGTCTGAGTGCCCTCCACGTGTGCCTCCAGCCGCCTCACAGCATCCCTCAGCGCGTGGGCCTCCTGCTGCCGCCGCTCCGCCTTGCCGCGCCACGCCTCCACCTGCGCCAGCATGGCACTCATCGCCTCCTCCAACTCCTCCACCCGCCTCTCCGCACACCACCTGCTATCCCCCGTCATCAAACTTCCTGTCATCACACTCCCCCCTCCTGTCAGTGCACTCTCCCCTCCTGCTGTCCTGCCTCCTGCTGCTGCTGCTGCCCCTGACTCTGCACCTGCCCTCACCCCAGACGCTCCCGTGCCGCCCTTTCTCGCTTGAGCACTACACGCCTCATCATCCCCAACCCCCTCGCTCCCTTCCACGCCCACCGCCACCCCCGTCCCCTCATCCACCGCCACCCCCGTCCCCTCATCCACCGCCACCCCCGTCCCCTCATCCACCGCCACCCCCGTCCCCTCATCCACCGCCACCCCCGTCCCCTCATCCACCTCCACTCCCGGTCCCTCCCCCTCCCCCTCCCCCTCCCCATCACCACTTGAACCGCCCTCCCTCCTCACCCGCCCTTCAATGTTCCCTGCAAATCCGCGCCCCTGTGGCCGCTTGCCCTTCACAGCAGACCCAGCACCGTCCTCCAGTGTCCCCAGCCCCGTGCCTGCCACCGCCCTTGCTGCACCTTGCCCTGCCCCATCGCCAACACTCCCACTGCTCTCTTCCACCTTCTCCCGCTCCCCATCCTCTCCCCTTTCGGTCCTCCCCTCCGCTTCTCCCCCTCCATCCCCTCCCTCGCCTGCACTCTCCCGCGCCACCACCTGCGCCATCTCCAGCAGCAGCGCCACCCCATCCTCTTCCTCCGCCTCTCCCTCCTCCCTCTCCCCACCCACCTCCCTCCCCTCCTCCTCCTCATCCCCGTCCCCACTCCCTGCTCTCACCCACGGCGCAATCCTCACACGTGCTCGTATCTCAGGTGATCTTAACGAGGGTGACACGTCACCCTCCTCTGACACAGGCCCCACGCTCCCCTCACTCCCATCACTGAACCCCCCCTCGCTACTGTCACTCCCACCATGCCACACACCCCCATTCCCACCAAAAAACCTCCCTCCCTTGACTCTGAACCCACCCCCACCACCACCACCTCCACCCCCACCGCCTCCTCCTCCTGGCCCGCGGCCAGCTATCCGGGGCATGGGTGTGGCCCCAACAGACGCCGGTCGCCGCGCCTTACCCCCCTCCCTCGCCTCCCGCACCTCCCGCGCCTCCCCTCCGCGCCCCTCACTCCCCGCGCCGCCCCGCTTCACCGTGCCGCCAGTGCTGCCCGGGCGCACCACAAACGCGCGCCCTGCAAACTGCCCAGACTGCTGCTCCCGCCCAGACTGCTGCTCCCGCCCAGACTCCTCCTCGTCCAGCAGCATTGACAGCCCTGCCCGTGCCCCTGCTCCCGCCCCTCCCCCCCACCTGAGCCCTCTCACGCCCACGCCCACCCTCGCCCTGCCCTGCTCCTCTCTCCTGCTCTCCACCTCCTCCCCTTCCTCCTCCTCCTCCTCCTCCGCTCGCTCCCCCTCCCCTCCCACCGACTCTTCTGAACCTCTACCTGCTTTCCCTCCTCTTTCCCCCTCTCTCTCTCCCTTTCCCCGTCCCCTGCTTCCCCCCTTCCTCTCCAGCACCCTCACCCTCTCCCTCAATCCCTCCTCCACCTCCCTTCGCTCTGCCACGTCAGCTTCCAGCTCAGCAATCCGCCTGTCACAAGCGCGCTTCACCTCGTCCAACTCACCCTGAACCGCACTGCACCGCTGCTCCCGCCCACTCGAGATACACCGTTCACTAAACAGCTCCTGATTCAAAGCCGCCACCTCACCCTCCAACTCAACCACCCGCCTCTCCTTCTCCCGCACCTCCCCCTCCAGCCGGCCAATCAGAGCGTCGCAAGCTGCCAGCCTTGCAGCACCATCTGCCACCTGCCTCTCCGCTGCTCTCAGCTGCTCCAGCAGCTTCCCCTGCCGCCCCTCCTCCTCCTTCCGCGCGTCCCTCTCCCTCTCCGCCACCTCAACCCTTCTCTGCAACTGCTCCACCTCCTCCTCCAACGCCCGTGCCTGCTCCTCCGCCTCTCTCGCCCTCGCTTCCTCTGCTCTCAGCCTCTCCTCTACTGCCCTCGCCCGCTCCTCTGCCTCTCTCACCCGCTCCTCAAGCTGAGTTCTCTCAGCGTCCCACACTGCTTCGCGGTCAGTCAGTTCGCCCCACAGCTCAGCAGCCTCTGCTGTGCGCTCCTGCTGCTGCTCCGCTGCCCCTGCCTCCGCTGCTTCCGCCCTCGCCTCCGCCTCTCCCCTCCCCACCTCCGCTGCTCTCACCCTCTCCTCCGCCTCGCCCCTCGCCGCCTCTGCTGCTTCCGCCCTCGCCTCTGCAGCAGCCGCCCTCTCTTCTGCTCGCCCCACCAGCGCCTCAGCTGCGGCTGCTCTCCTCTCTAGAGCAGCAGCGTTGGCCTCAGCAGCAGCCACACGGGCCTGCCACTCCTCCTCTGCCTGCTGCATCGCCACTCCCATCACTTCCACCATCACTTCCCCACCCATCCTGCCTTCAGCCTCTCTCCGTTCCCCCTCCTCCTCCCCCTCTTCAACTGGTCTCACCTCCGGCTGCTGCTGCTGCTCTAGCTGCTGCCTCTGTAACTCCCTCTCCCGCCCATGCCACGTGGCAGCAGCCTGTTGGAGCGCCGTCTGCAGCACCACCTCCACCAGATCGCCCTTCGCCGCCCACTCCTCCCTCTCCTCAGCCACAGCCGCCGCTACAGCCGCCGTTACAGCCGTACCCTCCCTCTCTCCCACCATCCTAGCCTGTTCCGCCACAGCCCTTCCAGCTGCCTCTACTCTCACCGCCTGCTCTGCAGCAGCCAGTCGACCCAGCAGCTCTCGCCGCTCCCCCGCACTCCTCTCCTCCAGTCCACGCCAGCCGCCTTCCACCTGCTCCAGTGCCGCCTGCAGCGCCGCCTGCACCAAATCGCCCTTCGCCACCCACTCGTTCCTCTCCTCAGCTACAGCCGCCGCTGCAGCCGCTGCTACAGCCGGCGCTACAGCCGCAGCGGCCTGTAGGGCGGCCACCTCCACGACCTTGTCCACCAGATCGTCTCTCATCTTGCACTCGTCGCTACGCTCCGCTACAGCCGCTACAGATGAAGCGTCTCCTGCTGATGAGTACGCTACAGCTGAAGCTTCTCCTGCTGCTGAAGCTGCTGCTACAGTTGCTACAGCTGAAGCCGCAACAGCCGCTACGGCTTGCTCCAAGGCGATCGCCAGCACCTGCTGCTGCAGTGACGCCGCTGCTGCTGCCGCTGCTGCTGCTGCCACCTCGTCTCTCGGATCCACCCCTTCCTCCTCCCGCTCCCCTCCCATCCGCACCTCCCCCCTCTGCTCCCCCCTCTGCTCTCCTTTATGCGTCCACGTGGCATGCCAGCTGGCAGCCGCCTGCGCTACAGCCGCCTCCACCACGTCCGCCTGTAGCTGCTCTGCCGCCTGTAGCTGCTCTGCCGCCTGTAGCTGCTCTGCCGTTACGGCAATAGCAGTGCGTGTGGTGGCAGCAGATCGAGGCGGAGAAGCGGCAGCAGCAGCAGAGGAACTGTATTCGTTCCTCTTATCTGGCTTCTTCAATCTGCTTCCCTCCTCCTTTACGTCTGCTGCTGCGGTGGGATCTTCCAATTCAGATCCGCCACGTGTGCCCGCCGCTGCAATAACCCCCAAATCAGACCCTCCGAACGTCCCTCCGATCGCTTGTTCAGTCGCAGGACCAGTCGCCAGAGCCCGCGACTCTAGCGACGCCTGGGTAGCTCCAGACGACACCGGCGATTGCTCTTCCCCGCCGGACCCGCGCGCTGAATTATCCGCATCGCCCGCCTTGCTTTGCGCCTCCGCATCGGGGGGCGGGGATGAGGGGGGCGCATCTGCGTCGGGGGGCGGGGAGGTGGGCGACATCCACGCGCCCAGAATCCCCCCAAACGGTAGCCACGTGGAGGAGGGTGAGGGGGTCAGGGCAGCGCGCGACGGAGTGTGTGCACCGGGCAAGGGGGTATTTGCGGCCGCGGAACCTCCTTTCGCACTCGCGGGCGTGCTGGGTTGCGAGGATCCCGCCGGTGATTGAGCCGGCGACGGCGATGCGACTAAATCTGTCGCATGTGAATCTGTCGCCTGGTTATCTTCACCCATGGCGTCGTCTGCCCTTTTGGCATCATCCAACCGGGGCTCTGTCTCCATCGTCGCATCCACACCGTCGATCGCAGCGATCAGTTTCGCCACTTCTCTCTCCGCTTCCGCGATCTCGTCCGCGCGTTCGCGGTTTTTAGCCGTTGGGATTCCGAATAGCCCTTGTCGCACGGCCGGTGTGTGCTCTCGCAGCTGCTCTAGCGACACCTCGAGAATCAGCTTCTGTAACTCTTTCGCCAACACTTCGCCGCCTACGTCTCGGGACATCCTACGGCCGAGAGGAGCTCTCCCTACATGCTTTGAAAAGTACTCAATCCTGAGAAGCTCACGAGGTGGCGCACGCAGCGGACGACCAGATAAGAGATCATGAACGAAAGAACCTTTTTTCACAGTCGGGTGTGTGCGTGGCGTGGATTTGCGATCTAGGCCGTCTATTGCATGGATCGTGATGGTGGTGCTGCTCTTTGTTGTTCTCGATCCGTTGTACTTCACTTCGTTTTACGTTACTGTTGAAGCACATTGTAGCGAACCCTGAACTTATATATACACGAGAACACGTAGCATTTGCAGAGAAATTTGTACAGAAGACACAGTATGATTAACAAAGCACTATAACATATATATCCAACTAGTAGCCAGCCCTTATAGATGCCGTTCTGGAATTAGAAACTAATCGGGTCCAAGAGGTTGCCCCTGAAAAAAAAAAAACAACACAAGCTAAGAGCCTCTCGCTTCAAGTCTGTTTCAAGTACAGGTTGCTTCTGCGCCGTCAAGAGTCTTCACAAACCTGCCCTTCACCCGTTGCCTCCCGTCCGCGCGTGTCTTGCGTGACTCGTACCGAATCTTCTTGGCAAACCTGCAGCATTTCCCAGGGCAAGTGGATGGAGACTGAGGTGGGTGAGATGCACAGCTCCTTGAGCATCAGAAGAACAGGGATGCGGCTGCGGTGTACACACAGAAACCCAACACTAGTGAGCGGCCAAGAGGAGATATCACGGAGCAGGGACAGGCAAGGAAGGGAAGGGGAGCAAATGGAATGGGGAAGGCAAACGAAGGCAAGGGAAGGCAAGGGACTGCGAAGGAAGGGAAGAGTAGGGAAGGGAAGAGTAGGGAAGGGAAGAGTAGGGAAGGGAAGAGTAGGGAAGGGATACTGACGTGCGGTGCTTCTTCTTCTCCATGTATCGCATCACTGCCTCGTCCCTGGCTGCTGCTGCTGACACCGCCACCATGGCTGATAGCACCGTGCCGCCCATCATTTGGCCCCCGCCCATCACCCCGCCGCCCGCCCCCTGCATGCTCCTCGCCCGGCACAACCAGGGGTCCGCAAGAAACCCGTTGACCGAGTTGACTGGGTTGACCGCATTAACTGAGTTGACTGCGTTCCCGTTGACTGCATTGACTGGGTTGACTGGGTTGGCGGAGTTGAGAGCATGGAGGGCGTGGGCCATACTCATGGGGCCAGCAGGGTGCATGGCACTGCCACCAAACAGCGTGGCAGCACTGCTGGGACCGGCTCTCTCAGAGCCAGAAAATGCCTCTGATTTCACCTCCACTGGCGCTGTTGCCGCCACCGCAGCAGCAGCAGCAGCAGCAGCAGTTGCCGCCATTTCTGCAGCCACAAGCCCTGCCATGCCCATGGCCTCACCCTCGCTGCCTCCCCCCCCTGCTTGTGCGTCTGGGGTGGCAGTGCCTCTGCTGCTGCGCCCATCGCGCATCATCTGCCCCTCCAGCGCCTGGAACAGCGCCAGCTCCCTCTCCTCCTGCCCCGCCTCCCCCGCCACCCCACCCGCACCTCCCGCCGCACCTGCCAAGGAGCTGGACGCCGAAGCTGTGGACAAGGTTCGGATGGCAGCATTGTTCCACACCGCTCCGTTCCTCCAAGGCACACGACCAGAGGCGTCTGCGGCAGCAGCTGCACCGAAAAGAGTGGCAGGGGTGGTGAGGTCACTCGGGCCATTGGCATTGGGTGCGGTGACGGCAGAACCGCCTAGTCTGCGGTCCAGCAGAGCACACGTGGTGGGCGATGCACTGCCATCCATGCCTGCTGCGCTGCCGCCCGCCTCCCCCACCACCCTCGCTAGCAGACAGTTCATGCCGGCCATAGAGGACGGCGGGCGGGCGGCGAGCCAGTCAACAGTGTCCTGATCCAGTGGCTGCATGAGCGCACCTGCTGCTGCCATGCCCCCTAGAGGCTGGGCAGCACAGCTATCAGCACCTAGGCCAGTAACACCCATGCCACCTGCACCCATGGCGATCCCATCCTCCCCCTCCTGCTCCTCCCGACCCCCCCGCTCTTCCTGCTCTCCCCCCGCCTCCTCCTCCTCCCTCACCACCTCCTCGCCCCCGTCTCGCCCCAGCTGCCCGCCAAACTCGCTGTTGTTCTCGCCAAACGAGAAGATATCCTCACATGACGACATGGACATACCCATGCCCATGTCCATGCCCCCCATCTCCATGCCCATATCTATGCCCATGCCCATCATCCCCACCATGTCCATGCCCGCGCTCCCCACCCGCCCCTCCTCTTCTGAGCCCTCCTCCGCGCCCATTTCCCTCTCCCTCTCCAGGTTCCTCTCAGCCTCGGCGAAAATCGCATCGCCGATGCGCGAAACGAGCAGCTTCTTATCGGCTTTTTTCTCCGGAGCCCTGTCCTCCCCTGCCTTGCCACTCCTCTGGTTCTCCACTGTTCCTGCTGCCTCTCCTGTTTCCACCGAGCCGCCAGCAGCCGAACGGAGAGAAGCCCTGGCGGAGGCAGGGGAGGAGCTAGAAGGACATGCACTGTCCGCAGGGCACAGAGCAGCACCGCACGCCCTGCCACTGGCACAACCAGCAGCACCAGCAGCACCTGATGCGCCACTAGCACCGCTGCCAGCCACAGTGACAGCGGTCTTGCCACCACTACCAGCAGCAGCAGCTGCTGCAACTGCAGCAGCGGAAGAGGCGAAAAAGGGGACCTTGTGGGGCGGAGAGGGGCGTGCAGGCATGCCCACACCCACACCCGCTAGAGCAGCGGGAGGAGTGGGCGCGGCGGACGCAGCAGAGGCAGGCGCGGAACGGGGCGGGGCGGGCACGCGAGCAGCTCTGAGCGTGGCGGCAATGGCAGCCATGGCCGGGGAGAAGGGGCTGCCGGGCGGGGGGATGGGCAGGAAGACGCTGGGACTCGCAGGCGCGCGGGAAGCGGGCGCGTGCAGGGGAGCTGGGGGGAGCGCGGGGGGCGTGCAGAAGGGCGGGAAGGGGGTGGCGGAGGGGGGTGCGGATTGGGGAGCGGAGGGGAGAGGGGGTGGATGGGCGGCATGGGCTGTGCTTGGCGTGGGAGGGGATGGGAAGGCTGAGACGCGGTCTACAGTCACGCCCTCCGCAGTCACAGTGCTCTGGCCGAGACCTGGGGAGGTGAATGCGTTGCTCTTATTCGCAGGGCTATCCCTCACTGCAGCGTCATGCACCTTCCCACCGCCGTCGCCAGTGCCACCGGCTCCTCCGCCCTTATCCTCCACCCTCCTCCTAAGCGCATTCCCATCCTCGATTGTCCAATTCTCCTGCTCCGCCTGCTCACCCTGCTCCGCCTCCTCCCCCTGTTCCGCTTGTTCCCCCTGCTCCGCGCCCAGGTCCCTCATTACCACGGGCGACCACGACTCCCGCCCCCTCTCCCCGCCGCCGCCCTGCTCCTCCTCCGCAATCCGCACCGGCGACGCCTGTGCCGAGCCCATTGGCGCACCCACAGCCGCAGGCACGGGCGCAGGCACGGGCGCAGGCACGGGCAGGGACCAGGGGGAGGTGCGCGCGAGCTTGTGGCGCGGGGAGACGAGCGGGGAGGCGGCGGAGGTGATGCTGTGAGAGCGCTTGCCAGCGAGGCGCGGCGACGTGAGGAATGCAGACGGTGCGGCGGCGAGCGCAGCCGCCACGGCGTTGGGGATCCCTGCTGCAACCACGCTAGCTGTAGGCGCCGCAGTTGCTGCAGGTGGTGGCAAGGAGTGGTTGTCGATGAGGGGACCCTTGAGCCCCTTGGCGTCCTTGGGTTTGAGGCGCACGGGTGGAAGCAGAGGGCTCGCCCCACCAGCTCCCTGCACCACCTGCCGCTGCTGCTGCTGCTGCTCCTGGTGCTGCTGGTGCTGCTGCGAGTTGGCGTGCTCGTGGTGGTCAAGGTGCAACTGGCGCTGCCACACCATCTCCATCTCCTGCTGCTGCCGTGTGCGCTGCCGCTCGTGCTCCACCTTCTGCTGCGACAGCAGCAGCTCCTGCTGCTGCCTGTGCCGCAGCGTCAGCATCTGCTGCTGCTGCTCCTGCAGCAGCGTCAGCCGCTCCTGCTCCTCCACCTGCTGCTCCTCCTGCAGCACCTGCTGCTCCTCCTGCTGCTTCGCTATTGCCTTCTCCGTTAGCGGCCACTTCCCCTCTGATGTCTCCAGAGCGGACAGCTGCTGCCCTTGTCCGCGCAGCCACTGCTGCTGCTGTTGCTGCTGCTGCTGTAGCATCTGCCATTGCTGCGGTTGCTGTTGTTGCTGCTGTTCGTCCTGCTGCTGCTGCGAGCGTTGCTGCTGCTGTTGTTGCTGCTGCCATTGCTGCTGCAGCTGCTGTTGCTGCTTCTGTTGCTGCAGCCAATGCTGCTCCTGCTGCTGCTGCTGCTGCTGCTGCTGCCATTGCTGCTGCTGCTCCTGCTGCTGTTGCCATTGTTGCTGTTGCTGCTGCTGCTGCTGGTGCTGCTGATGCTGCTGCTGCTGAAACACCTGCGCGGCATGCGCTGCCTGTGCAGCCTGTGCGGCATGCGCGGCGGCGTTCATGGCATGAGCGTGCGCCTGCATCTCCTTCGCCTGCTGCTCTTGCAGCTGTAGCCGCTGCTGCTGCAGCCGCTGATGTAGCTCCTGCTGTAGCTGCTGCTGCTGCTGCTGCTCACCAACACCGAACATCAGACCCATCTCCAAGTCCACACGCTGGTTCGGCATCCTCTCCTCTCGCCCCATGCCTGGACCGAAGCTCGGGCCGAGGTTCGGGTGAGTCACAGACCATCCGGGAATGGATTGGAGGAGGCCCAGGTTCGGTTGCGCAGCAGAGAGATGCCCGCCGGGAAAGAAGTAACGATTGCCTTGCGCGAGCTCCGCTTGTCTCTCCATCTCCACCTTTTGCAGCGCGCCTGCCTGCATGCCCTGCTGCGTGCCTTGCTGCCCCGCAAAGCCGAAGTCCGCCGGGAAATGCGGAGGCGGCATCTGGTTCAGCTGTTGCGGCTGCTGCGGCGGCTGTGGGTAAAACGGACCTCGGTCGGCGGCGGTGCTGGGAAGAGCGCGGGGGGAATAGGCTGGCGGAGACATGCGCGGCGCTCTTTGCCCAGAGTAGGAAGAAGGCGCAGGCGATGTCATTCCGGGGGCGCACGCGGAGGGTCGGTGCTGCTGTCCGGACGGCTGCTGAACACGCAGTAGCGGCAAACACGGACAGAGGAATATAAGTTCAGACTTCATATGCAGGAACATATGACACGCGTTGGTCAGATGAAGAATGGCACTAACGCGTACCCTACAAACAATTGACTCACTGCGGACACGCATGCACCGGACCTCACCTTGCCTGCCCTCGGGCTTTCCGCCAGATGCGCCGCGCTCCCTGCGCGCGCAGAGTCCCGGAACGACTGCGACGCGTCGCCCTGCGCGACAGCTGCTGCGAAGCCGTGCGACAGGCTCCGCTGCAGCACTGCTTCCATCATATCCGCATCTCCCACCGCATCTCCCGCCGTCGTCACCGCCGTCGACGTCGCAACGGTGCTCACCGGTGGCAAACCCACCGACGTGCTCGACATCGCTCGTCTCGCCGGCACCGTCCTCCCCGCGCCGCTCGTTGCTGCCGCCGCTGCGCCGCATCCAGCCGCTCCGCGGGCTCCCGCCGTTCCGCTTAGCCCCGCCGCCCCCCACTGCTTCCGCGGAGCGGAGGCGCAGACCGTGGCGGTGCTGGGTTCCGGCGCAGCGGGCTTGGAGAGCGACGGGTGCTGCACGGAGCTCGTTAGACTCATAGTCGCCGCCGGCGTTACTAACGGTCGCAGGCTCTTCACGGAACCAGAGGTTAACCGCGTCGCACGGCCAGAATCTGGCGACGGCAGCGCGTCGTCGTGCGACAGCCTGGTAGTGTGCGACGCGATGAGCGACGTCGTGGCGCCTGTTGACGTGGAGCACGCGGGGCGAGAGTGCTTCTGATGAACTTGGAGCAACGGCGGGGGTGGTTTCGCCAACTCGCAGCCCCAGAGCTGAGCAAGATCTGCTGCGGACGGGCAGCCCGTGAAATTTTCGAACGCATGGCGTCTGTGTAATTGCGAGGAGGATAACTTGCCGTGAATCGCGCTATCGCAAGCGATGCAGAGAGAGAGGTTTTCGTCAACGCAGCGAAAAGCTGCCGGTTGGAGATTACAGCCGTCGCACAGGAGAGTCCGCTGATGTCTCAACGACAGGTTATTGGCAGAGTGCACGACGCGATCGCAGGAAAGGCACAGCCTAGCGGAATCGGCGCGGCAGTATACGGTGGCTCTTCCCTTCTCGCAATACTCGCACGTACTATCCATCTTAAAACGCGAAAACCAACCGTCGAAACCTAGCGCAAGAGCGATTTCTACAAGCTACAAAGTCTAAGCGACGCGAATAACAGGAAACTAGCTGGTGAATCCCAAGCTAACAGTTGTCTTGAGAGTCGGCGCAAGTCTTGGTAGCAGTATCTGGGTTGCACAATCTTAAGAGTTGAAATGAGAGCAACTGTTGTAGCTCTCAGAATGAAACCCCCTTCCCTGCCACAGAGATGCCTGCCTCGGGACCTCCTCAAGGCTCACCATTCACCTGGGGCGTGGTCGCTTTTTCGGGTTGAAACGTCTGGTCGACACTCAGTCAACACGAAGTCGGTTAAGTTCGCAAGTTTGGAAAGGAAGAATCCCATTCTCCTCGGCAACGAGAAACCTCACGACGCTAACGAACATTGTAACCCCAGTGTATGTCGATTTCAGAACGTACGGAGCTGCGCTACATGCTCTAAACGCAGCCTATTCACAAGCCTTTTCATTCATTCCCCCTGGGAGTCAGTGTTCCGCCTTAGGGTAGCGGTTGGGGAAAAAGCATCGCCATTTTTCCCGAACAGCGGAGAGTGGATAACAAGGGTTGGTGAACTGTGCGGAAAAGCACACTTCTGCAGTTCCGCTGGAGGAACTTTTGCGCGGGAATCGTGCTCCAAGATTGGGGGGAGCTCTCTGAAGCACCCATTCATCGCGTTGCTCCCCGCCAACTCTCACTCACGGTCTCCGCTCACCCGCACCACGAACTTGCCGCGCTGGCGGAACCAGGAGGTGCTGTCTTCGTAGAGCCAACGTGAGACGAGGGGCAGAGAAGAAACAAGTCTTTCAGCGTAAACGCGTGCGCAAGAAAGGGATATGGCTGACGTGGTAGTCCTGAAAAAGAGCAGTTGCTGACGAAAAAAGTGCCTCTGCACGCGCAGTGCTGGATTTCTGTTGCGATGGTGGGACAACAATATCGCCCTTATCCAGATCTGGGCTCTTTTGGTTCAACCACGAAGAGCTTTTCACGTGGATCGAAACTTTATGAGAAAAGCTGCCATCCGCGCACAAACCAGTGAAATCCCTTCCGCCACAAAACCCTAGGCGCACTTTTACGCTTTTCGGCGCTCAGCGTGGCAATGTCCACAGTGGCGTCCAGATGTAGGTGCAGCAGAAGTTGCCATGTGGAATAAACTTGTGGTCTCATCGTAGGTGGCAGATACGCTTTACCTCACAGCCCTGAGATTAGGTACAGCCGCAACTGCCATTCACCAATTGAGGCTATAATTCTCCACGTGTCAGACATTTACTGGGACTTGTCACCAGTGGACAATTGTTCCGCCAACTTCAGTGCACTCTGGGAGGCAACCAGTGAGTCAGCCAAGGTGGATACTTCGTAAAAGCGTAAAATTATCAGCTGCCCATTCAAGATGATGGGGAAACCCGCACGCAACCGCAACTGCAACCGCCAAGACGGATGAACTCAAGGCAGAAGAGATGGCGGGAGGGAGGGGTGTCAGCTTGTCTGCAGTATGTTCCGCAAGGTATGTATAGACGAACCAATGGTTGAATTCTCAAAAAACTGAATCCTGGACACGGTCCCCCAAGATCGGTGTCGTTACGACAAATGAGACAACAAAATGAAGCCGGGACAAAATAAACTGCCAGCACAAAAATATATATAATACATAAATATAAATACAGCTACACAGGAACCTTGGGTGCAGGTTGGGCATGTGAAGAGAACCGCAAGCGACACCGAGGTAGTCTCTGTTGGAAACAAGTAATTTGAACGCTTCTGTTGTGTGTCGAAACACTAAGTCGTAAACTAGGTGAAGCACAGCGAAGCATCGGCGAGTCAACACTTGGAGGTTGAGAAGTGAAGAAACCGCTGGAGGTTACGCGAAAGTCAAAGGTCAGCGACCTTTGACCTGACAAAGTACAGCGCGACAGCAAGGACAAACAACTGACTCGCTATTGAGCAAATGCCCGAATCGTCACTGTATCGAACCGCGACAGCAACAGTAAAACAGTTATAAGTTACATCTTTTCATATTCCTTGTACTCTTATAAAAAGCCATGTATCTCTTTGATTAATCAATCTACTTTGTCCTCACATACCAACGCAAGGTGGTTCAAGACTTATCATTTTACGCTTCCGAATTTACAACAACTCATGTTGGAAACAATCGGTCCTAAGCGCCTCTGTCGTGTCGAAACACCAAAGACACAAGCGAAGCAAAACACTATCGAAGCACCAGCGAGTCAACCCTCGGAGGTTGAAGCAACTGTCGGAGGTTACGCGAAAGTCAAAGGTCAGCAACCTTCGACCTGACAAATACAGCGCGACAGCAAGGACACACAACTGACTCGTTACAGAGCAATTGCCCGAGTCGTCATTGTATTGAACCGCAACAGCAACAGTAAAGTAGTTATAAAGTGTGTCTTTTCATATTCCCTGTATTCATGTATAATCTTGTATCTCTTTGCTTTAATCAACTTACTTTGCCCTCACATACTAGCGCAAGGTGGTTCACAACCCTTTAGTTAACGCTTCCGCTACTACACCAACTCTACCCAGAGTTGACCCCTGCAAAGATCCTAAGGGTTTTTCAGCCCAACATGGTATGAGAGCAATCAGGGGGAATTCAACTTCTATACCGACAATATCAATCAGCATGGCTACACAAAAGGAAAGGAGCAACTCCAACGGCTCCCAGGGCACTACTCCTACTCCACCTCTGGCCTACAAACAGAGGAGGGCACGGCAACAAGACCCAGAGCAACATCTACCGAGACTCCCGCGAATCAACCTGCACACTTCGACCAGAGCATGATGTCAGAACATTATAGCTTATGCTTTTGTGTAGGCTGTAGTGGGGTAGCCCATATGGGGTACAACCCAATTAGGGTTAGTACTTGTACCCAACTGTTTCATATATCATTCATTCTCGTTCTCATCTTCTCATGGTATCGAGCAGGTTCCCCCGTGGGAACTGTGCCTAGGGCCCACCACATCGACCTTTTTTTTTCCTGCCCGAAGCGCGCTCCGCCCGAGTCGCACTTCGTCGAGCCGCCCTAGCGGCCCTTTCCCCTAGCGGCCCGCTGCACGTCGCCTCGGCCCCGCCGCCCGTCGCTTCGGTCCTGCCGCCCGTCGTCGCGGCCCCGCCGCCCTACCTCGCGGCCCCGCCGCCCTACCTCGCGGCCCCGCCGCCCTACCTCGCAGCCCCGCCGCCCTACCTCGCGGCCCCGCCGCCCTACCTCGCGGCCCCGCCGCCCTACCTCGCGGCCCCGCCGCCCTACCTCGCGGCCCCGCCGCCCTACCTCGCGGCCCCGTCGCCCTACCTCGCGGCCCCGCCGCACTACCTCGCGGCCCCGCCGCCCTACCTCGCGGCCCCGCCGCCCTACCTCGCAGCCCCGCCGCCCTACCTCTCGGCCCCGCCGCCCTACCTCGCGGCCCTGCCGCCCACGCGGCCCCGCCGCCCTACCTCGCGGCCCCGTCGCCCTACCTCGCGGCCCCGCCGCCCTGCTCAGCGGCCTCGCCGCCCTTCTGCACCGGCCCCTGCCGCCCTACTCCTGCGGACCCGCCGCCCTACTCCTGCGGATCCGCCGCCCTACTCCTGCGGCCCCGCCGCCCTATGTGAGAACATTATAGCTTATGCTTTTGTGTAGGCTATAGTGGGGTAGCCCATATGGGGTACAACCCAATTAGGGTTAGTACTTGTACCCAACTGTTTCATAGTTCATTCATCCTCATTCTCATTTTCTCATGGTATCGAGCAGGTTCCCCTGTGGGAACTGTGCCTAGGGCCCACCAAATTTCGAATTTTTTTTCCTGCCCGAAGCGCGCTCCGCCCGAGTCGCGCTCTCACCTCGTCGAGCCGCCCTAGCGGCCCCTATGCCCTAGCGGCCCTCCCTACCTTAGCGGCCCCGTCGCCCGTTCGTGCGGCCCCGCCACCTACTAGCGTGGCCACGCCACCCGCATTCGCGGCCCCGCCGCCCTACGTCGCGACCCCGTCGCCCTAACTGCGGCCTCGCCGCCCTACTCCTGCGGCCCCGCCGCCCTACTTCGCGGCCCCGCCGCTCTCCGTCGCGGCCCCGCCGCCCTGTTCAGCGGCCCCGCCGCCCCACTTCGCGGCCCCGCAGCCCCACTTCGCAGCCCCGCCGCCCTGCTTCAGCGGCCCCGCCGCCCGTCTGCTGTGGCCCCGCCGCCCCACTTCGCGGCCCCGCCGCCCTTCTTCAGCGGCCCCGCCGCCCGTCTGCTGCGGCCCCGCCGCCCCACTTCGCGGCCCCGCCGCCCCACTTCGCGGCCCCGCCGCCCTACTTCAACGGGCCCCGCCGCCCTACTTCAGCGGCCCCGCCGCCCTACGTCTGCGGCCCCACCGCCCGTCTACTGCGGCCCCGCCGCCCTACACCTGCGGCCCCGCCGCCCTACTTCAAGGGCCCCGCCGCCCTACTTCAAGGGCCCCGCCGCCCTACTTCACCGGCCCCGCCGCCCTACGTCAACGGGTCCCGCCGCCCGTCTGCTGCGGCCCCGCCGCTCTCCCCTCATGCAGCAACGAGCCGCAGACCACCGCGCCGCCCTGTACCAGAGGAGCTGAGCCGCCCTGCCGCCGAGCCGCCCGGCCGCCCACCAGCCGAGCCGCCGTGCAGCCGAGCCGCCCAGCAGCCGAGCCGCCCCGCAGCCGAGCCGCTGAGCCGCCCAGCAGCCGAGCCGCCCAGCCACCGAGCCGCCCTACAGTTGAGCCGCCCGAGCAGCCCTGTCCGGTGAGCACAACCTCTCTGTCACTGCGTGCCCTTCCCCTACTGCTTGCACTGCTAGTCTACCGTCGTCATGGCTACCCCTAGTGTCCTCGCTTTTGACGCTAAGGGTCGAGCCATTGACTTTGAGGTCTGGGTCGACGACCTGCAGCTGTTCTTACAGTGCGATAGGGCGGACGGTCTTTCTCTCTTTGACCTCACCTCTGGCGCCTCTCCTGCCCCTGCTGCTGATGCTGACCCCACTGTTCGCTCTCAGTGGGCCA